CACAAATTTGTAGTAAAGTGAAAAAAACTTTCAGAGGATCAGAAACTTCCTTTCCTCCTTTACATTAAAATGCCCCTTTCCAGCTGGTGACCAAAGAGGCTGGGAGAAATCAGGCTTTTGACTGCTTGGCTGGGATTCAGCTCAGAGTTAGGGTGCTTAAATTAAGCATCTAAATTCAAGTGTCAAGTCCTTGGCTCTACCACCTTGCATGGTGTCTCTGGTGGATCCTGACCCACTGTTGGTGGGTGATGCTTTTTTACTGAGATGAAACATTTCTATCCTGCTGGGTGAGGGCTGGGAAAGTGGGTGGGTATGTAACAGTAGTTCAATAGTTGATGGTGTGTGTGATATTTAACAAGAAGGTCTCCAGGAGGTAAAAGAAGCCCCATTCTGACAGACAACTCATCACCAGGTGTCCATGTTCATTCAGGCCTGGGAAACACAAGGAGTGCTTAGCACAAAAAGCAAAGCTGGTGCACTCAGGGAGCATTGGGTGGGGATATAGGGATGGGGAAATCCCCCATGGAAATGTTGCTGGGAATGTGCTTTCCTGTTGATGAGAAATATTTCCAGGAATCAGAGAATCTCTCCCTCCCCTTCCTCCTTCCCAGCTGACTCCCATTGTAGCAAAGGACAGAGACAGCCCCATTTGCCTCACTTGTGCTGAGCTTGAGTTGCCTCAGAGCTCCTCAGGATGATGAGGTCTTGTCAGTGAAGGCAATCCAAGCCTCTCTACCTCAGGAAGGCAGCCATCCAGGACTGCCTCTTCCCCAGCTCTATCCCCCGTGGGATTGAAGTGATGAGCCACAGGAACCCCATGTTGAAGGTTTGCAAAAACCAGCCAGAAAAAAAAAGAGGAGAGAAAAGGGCTCAAAGGGAGGCAGAGAGTTGGGTTCCTACACCATCTGGGCAAGATGTGTCTGTCATTCCTGAGAGCATCCCTCTTCCTCAGGACCATAACACAGGCTGGGAAAGCAAAGGATGAACCTCTGCAGGTCCTGCTTGAAACAGGAGCTCTCCATGCTCTGTCCTCCTGGGCTTTAATAAAGACAAGCTCTGCCATGTCCCTCACAGGGCAGCAGTTGTGGGGCAGCAGTTGTGGGGCAGCAGTGCCCTTACTGAGGGTAATAATGGGCTGTAACCACCTCCTGTGCCATTAGCAGAGAGGCAGAGGCCAGCACTGCCCACCTCACCCACCCCATGGCAGGGGCTGCTCTTGCTTTCAGGCTGACACTGACTCTAGAGAAGATCACAGATTGTTCCATGACCTTGTTCAGAAAATCTGCACGTGGGGAGTAGTCAGAAGGTTCAATCCTTTGATGCAGACCTCTCTATGCTTTGTTCCAGCTCAAGAAATCACTTTCAAGGAGGGACTGTGCTTTGGGTCAGGAGATGGACCCAGTAGTGGGTCCGGATGTGCCTTGGACAAAGGGACTTCAGCTTGATAACCTGGTCCCATGTGGTGCTACCTGGTTGCATCATTTTGGCCCAGGTTGGGATGAGAAGTAGCTGAGGTGGCTAAGGGGGTGGTGGTAACTAAACACTCAGTCCTCATGGAGGCTTTTAGTCAAAAGGGAATGGATGAAGCATGTGTAGAAGAGTGTGAGTCTGAGTGTCCTGTTGCTCACCCAGTTTTTACCCTGGTCTTTTTCCTCTCCTCACTCCCCCTCTGTGGGGACTCCCTGCAGCCTGGGATTTTCAAAGAAGTTCTCATGGGAACCATCAAGTTCTCAAAGGGCAAGTAAACATCCCAGGGCACTTATGTCTGAGTAGATACTTGCTCTGTCCCCAAAGACCCTCTTATTCCCACCATAGCAGAACATGCTGTGTCCATCAGCTCCACACTTCCCATCAAAGCACAAATACTCATTTTTGAGCAAGTGCTCCCCAACACAGCCTGTCTCCATCTTTCCTCCAGACAGGCCATGCCTAACACTGGAGACAGAACTGGTGCTGAGATGACACACACAGATAGTCAACGAGTCAATAAACTGATGAAAAAAACCAAATCCCACAGCCAAATTCCTCCTGAAATCCACAGAAACAATGTGCATGGCTAGAAACAGGACAGCAATTGTCTCAGGAGAAGCCCTACCTGACCCACTGTGCAAGACCAGAAGATTTATTTTTAAAAGCCATCAGAGATTGGCTCTCTTCATTAACATTATTTTTACTTTAACTCCATCTGTTTCAACTTAACCACATTGAATTTATTGTATAGACCTGAAGGCAAAATCAGACCAGAAAAGGATGCTAAAAAATATCTCACAGTTGGGGTGTTCAGCCTGGAGAAGAGAAGGCTCCAGGGAGACCTTAAAGCAGCTTCCAGTGCCTAAAGGGGCTCCAGGAAAGCTGGGGAGGGGCTTTTTACAGGGGATTGGAGTGACAGGACAAGGGGGAAAGGTTTCAAACTGAAAAGGGGTAGATTTAGATGAGATATTAAGGATAATTTTTTCCTCTGAGGGTGTTAAGACCCTGGCCCAGGTTGCCCAGGGCAGTTGAGGATGTCCCCTCCTTGGAAGTGTTGAAGGGCAGGTTGGATGGGGCTTGGAGCAACCTGGGCTGGTGGGAGGTGTCCCTGCCCATGCAGGGGGTTGGAACTAGATGATCTTTATGGTCCCTTCCAATGCAAACCATTCTGTGATTCTATGATTCTGTCCTAGCCCAGGACACCTCCAGTTGCTTGTGCAGAAAGGTCAAGGTCTCCATAAAGCCTGTGTCCTTCTAGCTCTGTGCAGGCACCTCAGGGCACTTCAGTTATGTCTTGGTCACTGACTGGAGCCCTGGAGCCAACATGTGGAGGTCTGAGCTCTCAGCAAGCTGGTGGAGAGCTGGTCAAGGCAGACAGCAGAGCCTGGAGGGCTCCTCACCACCAACATCCCTGTGGTTACCACTGCTGTGAATCTTGCTCTGCGTTGTTCTCCTTTCACATTGTGGGCAGAATGTAGTGTGGTTCTGTCAGTGAGAGAAAAAGAACAAAGAGACACTCACTCTGTTTCCTTTTTTTTTCTTTAAATATTTACTTTACTGAGTAGATAGTACAAACTCTCAGCCCTGATTGTGTGGTGCTCTCAGTGATAGCTCAGTAAAACAAACCAAACAAACCACAACCCTGAAAAGAAGCTCACTTGGTTTCCTCTTTTTTTTTCTTTAAACATTTACTTTGTTGGGGAGATACTACAAATTATTAACCTTGATTTTCCTCAGAAGCTGGGACACCCACAGTGGCCACAGTCAGTGGTGGAAGATCCAGTGATATGTCTACCTTTTCTGTCCCAGAAATGAATCTCCACCAGGTCAGAGGGATTTGAGGGGAAACTTCATACAATCCAGTCTGGCTGCAGTTGATAGGTGGTGGGACAGAGGTAGGCTCCTTCAGAGGCTGCCAGAGCTTGATTTGAAATCACATCCTGAACTTGAATAGATCAAAGGCTGAGAGAATCTCAACACCAAATTCACTCTGTGTTTCTGGGGTTTGGCAGATGTGCTCAGTGTTGGGCTTGAGCCACCTCACCAAAATGCTTCAACCACCCTGTCCTGGTAAAGACAAAGCTCCAGTGCATTTTGTCCTGTGTCCTTTTTTCCCTCTGTGCCTCAGTTTCCCTGCCTGGAGACACAGCAGGTAGCTGCCCAAAGCCATGATGCCTGGTTTTCAGATGCCTCCAAGGGGCTGCCACCTGCAACGTGTTCTGGGGGAAGGAAGTGGTGTGTGTTCCTTGGGGATGGGGCTTCTTTTCCTGCTCAAACCCAGAGAGGCAGAGCTACTGTTTCACCATGGCACGAGTTTCCACTTGTCTCTTAGACTCTACATACTACAGCACCACCACCAACCCTAATGTGTGTCATTGCTTGGCTGTGCCCAGGTGGCCACGTTAACAAGTGCTGCAGAGAAACCTTGGGGAGTGACTCCGGGTGGATTCCCTCCACATCTCCACTTCAACAGGAACTTTTAGGACACAAAGATCCATCTGAGTAGGGAACCCTCAAACAAAACCATCAGCACTGAGCAACAAAGACTGCTGAAGTGCTCATGCTTTTGAGTAGCTGCACAATCCCCTTTACACCAGGGAGAGGGAGGGCAAACATCCCAACAGGGAAACAGTTTCCAGTTCTCTAGTCCATAAAGTCCAAAGACTTTTTCACCTATTCCTGCCGCTCGGTTTGATTCCCCTAAATCATGCCCAATAAAGTCAATATCCTGCCACAGTAACAGGCAGGGAAGCAGATGGCTGAGAACCAGCACCATCGTCACCCAAACTGGTGAAGCTCTGATGCCTCTGGGAATTGTGGTGGCAAAGCCACTTGCTCATCAGAGATGTGAAACTGGCTGCCAAGAAAAGCCATTTCTGTTTACATCCACACAGTGGGCTTGTGGGGGCACAACCTGCTGGCTTCTGGGGTAACTTTGCATAACTTACTTTTAGGGACCTGGCTGAAGCCAACCCGGGAGCCTGGGAACTTAAAACCCTGGTCTGCCTGGCAGTAGTTTCTCCCAAACCTGTACCACCCAGGTAACTAGGGTTCATCAACCTGGTAGGATCAAGGTGTGGATCAGAGCTACATGAGGGAGAAGAGAGTTGGCCCTTGTTTTAAAGCCTTGCCTAGATGGGAGAGGTTCCCTTCTGCTTTCTCAAAGACACAATAGCCTCATCCCCCGGTAACCCTGCTTACTCCTCCTGGCTGTATTTTGCCCACACCAGACAACTCTGGCACCCACAACTTCAGCAGCCTTTAGAAGCACAAGTGTGCCATCAGGCAGGATGCCAAGCTCTTCACCCTCCATCTCCAAGTGCTTGGATCTCCAGCCCCATCCCACAGCTGTGATAAAATGATACCCCAAGGGTTCTCCTTAGAGAATCTGCAGGGGACTGGTGAACCTCACTGTCCCCTCAGGTTGACCTCCCCACCTCCAGCTACTGCGCACATCAGGTGAGCAGAGTTTATCTCCATCCCTCCTGTTCCCCACGGGACTTTCCTCCAGGAGCGGGCACCACACCTACTCAGCATTCCTCTACACTTTTCATGGGGACCAGTACTGTCTGTTTATGGTGGTGGGACCCCCCACCAGTCCTGGTGGCCTCCTCCTCCTCGCCCCGTTCTGCGCGGGGAGCAGCTCCTTCCCGCGCGTGGATTTTCTGGTGCCTCCTCAGGTACTTCTTCAGCCGGTAGCACTTCCCACACACCTCACACCTGTAGGCCCCACCTTGGGAGTGGAGCACTTGGTGTTTAATAAGGTGACCCTTGTGGGGGAAGCATTTCCCACACTTGGTGCAGTTGCAGGCCCCCATGCGGACGTGGATGGTTTGGTGACGGAAGAGGTTGGCCTTCTGGTTGAAGGTCTTCTCGCACTCGGGGCACTGGTAGGGCTCCTCCTTGGTGTGGATCCTCTGGTGCCGAACCAGGTTTGACCTCTGGGTGAAGCTCTTCCCACACTCGGTGCATTTGAAGGGCTCGCTCAGGTGGAGCCTCTGGTGACGGGTCAACTTGCGGCGCATGCGGAAACTCTCCCCGCACTCGCCGCACTTGTACGGCCCCTCGCTCGTGTGGATCTTCCTGTGCCTGGTCAGGTTGGACTTCTGGTTGAAGCTCTTCCCACATTCGGGACAGGGGAATATCCGTTCACCCTTGGGAGCTCCTTTTGCTGAGGGATCTTTCTTGGAGGTGGAGTGGTCTCGGTTCTCCAGCATCTCCTCTTCGGTGGGTTGGTTGCATTTCTTCTGCTTCCCCTTTGGGCTCTGGCTCTCCTGGGGGTTGGACTCCACACCAGGTTCCTCTTTGATGTGAATCCTCTGGATAGCACTGAAGTTTGGCCTCTGCCCATAAGGCATCCCAAACTCAACACTTTGCTGTGGTTCTTCCTTCACATGGAGCACCCAGTTACTGGCTATGGGGACTTCCCACTCGTGCTGCCCATCAGCATCTTCTTCCTTTTTAAGCTGTCTCTTCTGTAAAGCCACCAGTGGGAATTTTGGATCAAAGAGCTTTCCATAATCTGGGTTTTCTGGTGGCTCTTCCTTGACGTAAAGTTTCTGGCAGGCTATTGCAGTAGTGTCTTCTGGGTCATCAGTGTGTGATTCTGGCTCCTCCTTCATCTGGATTTTCCAAGGAGGGCTTTTTGGATTAGATGGGTTTCTAGGTCTGCTACACCCTTGGGCTACATCTCCTTCACAGGACGTATTCTCCAACACCGTATTCTCTGACCTGAAGTCAGAATCAGGCTCCTCTTTAATCTGGATGACCTGGAGAGACACATCATTGATGTGTCCCTCCATCAACTTTTGCTTAGCATGGCTCCTCTGGTGGACACTGAAGTACCGCCTGGTGCTCAAGCTCTTCCCACACTCAGTACAAATGAAAGGCCCTCCACGGAGGTGCATCTTCTGGTGGGCCAGCAGAGTGGCACTCTGCCCAAAGCACCTGCTGCAGTCAGGGCACTTGAAGGGCTTCTCCCCCTTGTGGATCTCCCTGTGGGCTCTGAGGGTCCCCTTCTTCACAAAGCTCTTCCCACACGCAGTGCAGGCGAACGGCCTCTTCTCCACATGGGTCCTCATGTGGATGTTGAAGTAGATCCTTGTGCTCAGGCTCTTGCCGCAGCGGGTGCAGAGGTAGGGACCACCCTTGGCACGTGTCTTCTGGTGGGAAGCCAGGCACATCTCCAGGTGGAAGCAGAGCCCACACTCCCCGCAGCAGAAGGGCTTCTCTCCCGCGTGGATGCTCTGGTGGGGCGTGAGGTGGCCCCAGGTGGGGAAGCACCTCCCACCCTGCCCACAAGCAAAGAGCTCCTCTGCCCTGTGGATCTGCTGGCGTCTCCTCAGGTTTCCCTTCTTGCTGAAGGATTTGCCACATTCCTGACACGAGTGAATCTTTACCACCACATGCTTAACCAAGACCTTGGTGGCAGCGGCCAAGCAGCCAGCAGGACATTCCTGACACGAGTGAATCTTTACCACCACGTGCTTCACCAAGACCTTGGTGGCAGCGCTGCCCTGTGCCCAGCGGCGCGTGAGGAGGATGCCAAGCAGCCAGCAGGTAGAACAATGGCACCACTTTATGGGGATGGACTGTCTTGGAGGATACAAAAACCATCAGGACACACACATCAAAGTGTACTTCAATGGAGGCACCTCATTCCCCACAAGGGAAAAGGTGCTGCTGCTGCACCCCAGCTCCGGGCCAACAAGAAGCGTGTAGCCTTCCTCATTTCTCAGGCTCCTTCCCCCTCAGTGTGCAGACACAATGTTTGTAACTCCATCTCTTGCCTCCTCTGATCTCCTGAAAAGGCTTCCCTGGCATTCCTGGAGACTCGGACTGCCAGACTGAAAAAATAAAGGGAAAATTATTAAGTCATTATTTCTTCTTCACCTCCTGAGCTCGCTATGGAAACACAACGAGTGACACTTTGGCTGCTCCATGGGAGTGAGTCTGAGATCTCTGAAGCCAGAGGCTCATCTGGACTCCAGCAGAGAGAGCAGGAACAGGCTCATTTCCCCTGGCAAGGGGGGGACCTGTGAGGCAGCCACTGCTGCAGTGACACGGAGGTTTTGGCTCTGCTGTTGCTGCACGAGTGATTCAGAATCATAGATTCACGGAGTGGTTTGGGTTGGAAGGGACCTTTAAAAGTCACCTAGTCCAACCTCCCTGCAGAGGGCAGGGACACTTTCAACTAGACCAGGTTACTCAGAGCTCCATTCAGCCTGATCTTGAATGTTTCCAGGGTTCTACCACCTCACTGGGAAAACTGTGTTTAAAACCACCACCCCTTGCCCAGTCACAACAGGTCCTGCTAAAAAGTCTGTCCCCATCTTTCTTACAGGCTCCTTTTAAGTACCCTTAGAATTTACTCTCAGAACACTCCTCTGTCTTTTAACTAAGAAGATTTAGAAGTAAATCAGTTAATTTAATAATGCAATTCACAGTAAGTATTGTAATTAGACTCGTTTTTGATAAGTGACTTTGCAGCAACCAAAATAAAATCCTCCAGACCTAGAAGAAAGCCAAACCTGGCACCACTTGCCAAACTGGGTGCTCTGCTTTGTCTTTGGCAGACCCCCATGCACAGGAGATGACAAGTCAGTGGTGTGTGTTGTCAGTGGGCAGATGGAGAAGTGAGGCATGGAAACCTTCAGTGATTTTGTCCTTTTCAAAGGCCAAAAATCAACAGTAGGGGCTGGGATCCTACATATTTCCATTAGAAAAAAGAAATATAAATCGACAGAGATGTGAGCAACATCTAACCAGGCTCTGAATTACAGCTGGGAAAACAGCCAGAGAGACAGAGGGGACAAAGACAGTGGTCCTGGAGATGACTGTCAAAAAGAAGATACGTGGCTGGGCAGGCTTTTCTGGGTGGTATGGCCAAAAGTAAGGCAGCCAGAATCACCAGTTATGGGGCAGGCTGCCAGCAAGGACATGGGTTGGCAGTGAAACCTGTCCCTGGAGGTCTGGATGGCTGGGAAGGTTGTGGCTGAGAAGATGAGTCCACGGGGAGCCTGTCACTGAGGTGTGGAGGTGGGATGCCATGGAACAGAGGACAAGTGATGGGAGGTGTGGAGTATAAACAGGCACATACGCCTGCCATGCAGAGTTTGCAGCTACATGCTCCTCAGAGGAGAAGGGTCAGTGTGGTGAGTGAAGGGGGCAGCCAGTTCAGAGATCAGGTTAAAACGGGGCAAGTTCCTCCAGGTTTAGCTGCACCATTTGTGTTTTCCCTTCAGCTAACTTCTCTGGATCCCCACTGATGCTGCTACGTCACTACTGAAGCACAAGGGTGCCCCTGCCCAAGCTCAATTCTCCAGGCTGGTACAGAGGAACCACAAGAAAACAAACAACTAAATAAACCCAACACCAGCTGCCTGCAAAGTCCTACTGAGCCAGGAGACACAAAACACACAGGTGGAGCCAAGAGTGGATTTAGTGTTTGCTAGTGGAGGGGAGACTCTGGGGAGGGGGTGGGGTCCAGACCCCCTCCCTGGTTGTGGGAGCAGCTACATGACACCCACAACTGGTTTTAACTCAGCAGCCAAAGCCTCAGCAGCAGTCAGGCTGGAGAGAGGACTCCAAAAAGCTCCTGAGTGTATTTTTTAGGGAGGAGGGTCATGAACCCATCCAGCAGGTACCAGCTTTAGCCTCCCTCCCCCCAGGAGCCTGCTGGGGGGTCTGGCAGGTGCCCAGGGGATGCCCTCAGGTGCAGCTGGAGGGGCCACCAGCCCCACTGCCTTGGCCTCTCTCCTCACCACGGATGCTCATCCCAGTCCCCAGGAGGGACCATCTCACCCACAGCAGCCTTTCCATCGCCTCTGCCTTTTGACAACAGGCAGCAAACCCCCCGAAATTCAGCTCAGGGATAACAGATTCCATTCCTGCCTACTTTCTTCCTCTTGCTTTCCCCCTCAGCACCTGCAGCTCCAGACCCTGCCTGCACTTCCAGCCCTGCCATCCCCCAGGGTTTGAATCAAGGGCAGAACCAGATCCCAGGGAGTTGCTCCATTGTGTTTTTCACTGTTATTTTTTGGGCTACCCGGGCCAGTTGGCTGGAAGCACCTTACCTGAGCGGGCCAGCAGCCCCTCCCCGGCATCTCCCTCCTCCGGGACAATCCCAAGGGCACAACCGTGTCCAGGCTTTGGCTGCAAGTTCTGCTGCAGCCCGGGCTGACCTGGAGGAAGTTCTGCGGGCAGAGAGAGCAGGGAGAGCTGCCGGAGGAAGGGCGAAGAGAAGCAAACAGGAGGAGGAGCCGCGGGAGGATGCGGGAGATGCTCCGGGATCGCAGCTCCCGGCGGGATTTTCACGCCGCCGGTGGGAGAGCAAGGGAGGGAGAGGAGGGGTTGTTTTTTAATCCCTGATGTGCTTTTCCTCTGCACCCCGGGATGGGTGGGGAGCTGGAAGGGTCCGCGCTGCCTTCTGGGGATTGTAGTTCTGCTGCTCCCGAATCCTGCGGGATCGGGATGGGGATGGGGATGGGGATCGGGGTCTCGCCCCAGGTGAGCGTGTTTGCTTCTCGTGTTTGGGGAAGGAGAAGGTTCCTGCAGGGCTGCAGAGCGTCCTGCTTCCCTCTGCTCCGGGAAGGGTCGGCAGGGGAAAGATGCGTTTCAGGGGGTCCTTCTGGGTCCCTCACACTTTGCAGCCCCCCGGGGGGAGGCAGCAACCGGGGCTGCAGCCTGGTCACCAGCTAAGGATCCCTTTTAGTCAGAGAGCCAGAGAATGGTTTGGGTTGGAAGGGACCTTCAAGATCATCCAGTCCCAACCCCCCTGCATGGGCAGGGACACCTCCCACCAGCCCAGGCTGCTCCAAGCCCCATCCAACCTGCCCTTCAACACTGCCAGGGATGGGGCAGCCACAGCTTCCCTGGGCAACCTGGGCCAGGCTCTCACCATCCTCACATAAAAAATAACTTTTTCCTAATGTCCAACCTGAATTTCCCCTCTTCAAGCTTCAGACCATTGCCCCGTGTCCTCTCACTACACACCTGTGTGAAAATGCTCAGTGAGAGCACAAAAGGAGGGTGCAGATTTGACAAGGGTGGACACTGAGGCATATGGAGGGTGGGAAGGCTCTGCAGAGGGACCAGGACAGGCTGGATCAATGGACTGAGACCAATTGCATGAGGTTTAACAAGGCCAAGTGTGAGTTCTCCACCTGGGTCACAAAAAACCCAGGCATAGCTACAGGCTTGGGGCAGAGTGGCTGGGAAGTGTCCAGCAGAAAAGGGCCTGGGGGTGCTGGTCAACAGCTGCTGAATATGAACCAAGCTGGCCAAGAAGGCCACCAGCATCTGGCTTGTATCAGCAATAGTGTGGCCAGCAGGAGCAGGGCAGGGATGGTCCCCCTGTGCTGGGCACTGCTGAGGCTGCACCCCAAATCCTGGGCTCAGGGCTGGGGCCCTCCGGACAATGGAGGGGCTGGAGCGTGTCCAGAGAAGGGCAAGGGAGCTGGGGAAGGGGCTGGAGCACAAGTGTGAGCAGGAGCAGCTGAGGGAGCTGGGGGTGTCCAGCCTGGAGCACAGGAGGCTGAGGGGAGACCTTCTCACTCACACAGTCAAAGACCAAAAAAGCCTTTTCCTAAGCTCAGTTTGGAAGTGGTGACCTCCCGGTGTGATTAGTTTCCATTATCCTGGGGAAATCCACTTTGGAAGTGAAGCCATGCCATCAGCTGCCTCCAAAACATACCACTAGATGCCAGTGAAAGCTCTTCCTGGCTGCTCCCACCTGGAACATGTCACACTTTTGGCATTTTGATTTGTTTTATTGCATTTTTTAAAAGGTAATCCCTTCACTTTTGCTACAACAAGGCCTCCTTGCATTTGTGTAGAGTGTATAAATGTGTGTGTGAATGTTTTGTGTATCTCCTCTCTTGCTCTTTCTCTTTCTCTGTTTATGGAATCACAGAATGGTTTAGGTTGGAAGGGACTTTAAAGATCACCTAGTTCCACCCCCCTGCATGGGCAGGGACACCTCCCACCACACCAGGTTGCTCCAAGCCCCATCCAACCTGGCCTTGAACACTTCCAGGAATGGGGCATCTAGTATTCCTGGGCAACGTGTTCCAATGTCTCACCACCCTCAGAGGAAATAATTTCTTCTTAATATCTAATCTAGAGAGGGTAAATTAATAAATGGAAATATATGTATATATTTACCTTTGTTGGCTATTACTTAGATGAGAATTTCTTCACAGTGTCTCCCTAGACCAGGATCTCACCCCCAAGCTCCTTTTCTTATCCCCCTTCCTATCAAACATCCCAAATTAGAGCAACTTTCCAATATCTGAAGGGACCTACTGCCCCATCCCTAGCAGTGTTGAAGGGCAGGTTGGATGGGGCTTGGAGCAACCTGGGCTGGTGGGAGGTGTCCCTGCCAATGGAGGGGGTGGAACTGGATGATCTTGAAGGTCCCTTCCAACCCAAACCATTCCATGTTTCCATGACTCTATGAATCCCCAGCCCTTCATCTGCTAGATCTGAATTTTCTAGCCAGCACATCATGGCCTGATCATGACATGGACTGTTGGTCCAAGAAACATACAGGTGCTGGGATGGTGTGTCCAAGCTCTGGGAGATGGTTTCTCATA